TATATTTTGTGAGTTCTAAAAATAAATATATGATATAACATTGTGGGATTGAAATCCCTATGTACTCACCAGGTTTCCCAACCTGACCCACTCAGTTTATTTGTATCACATGTGTCGATATAAAGCTACACTACACTGAGAGATTAAAGAGATGTAGATCACTAGTGTAAATGAATGTATGTTCTGTTTATGCTTATGTTTCTGTATTGGCGTTGACATCCCAAAGTTTTAAAATACATTTCTTTGGAAATGTTTTGATAATATATTTTTCATGTTTTCTGGGAACAAAATTCTGCAACACTTTTCTTTAAAAGTATACTCTGATTTTGAAAATGAAGCATAAAAAAATTGGTCTTTTCTGGCCGTGAAATTGGGGATGTCACATTCAAAGAGAGGTCTTTGTTGGTGCCCAGTATGGAGCTAGTGAGGAGATGAAGAGGACCTGATACCATGATATGCTGAGATCCGACATCAGGGAGTTTGTTAGTTTTTCCGCTTACCCGACTCTGGATGATAAGATAGCCAGGGCGAGAGAGAGAGAGAGAGAGAGAGATTGATCTAGAGCACATAGGGAAGAGGAAGGCGGAGACTGGGTTGTCAATTAGGGTTTCAGCGAAGAAATCCAAGGGTTTCGACTCTAGGTCGAAGGGCCAGCATGGCCGGAGTCGTTGTGGCAAATGCGGTCGGGCGCATGATGGGGTTTGCAGGGCGGGTGGTTCGGGTTGCTACAAGTGCGGCAAGTCAGGGCACTTTATCAAGGATTGTACTGCTTTTGTCACCAATACATAGACATCAGATCTGATTTGATTTCATTGCAATCAGAGGGGCCACAAGAAGGTCAACTGCCCAAGTTTAGCATCAGAAGGACCAGTGGTAGCACCAGATCCTGCGACCCTACGGATCACAGATGGCCGCCAGGGCAAGGTAGATGCTCTTGTGGTGAGGAGTCGGGCATTTCAGCTGACCGCCGAGGAGGCACATGTTGTACTAGATGTAGTGACGGGTATGTCTCTTCTCCTTAACTCTTTATTTATGTTGATTTTGGTGCTTATGTTTTATGTGTTTTGTTTTAGGATCGTTCCTTGTGAACAATATCCCTGCTTTGGTATTATTTTATTCGGGGGCTACCCAATCTTTCGTGTTTCTTGCGCCCAGCAAGAGGTTTGTCGGATCTCCGAGTGAGCTGGATCATCCATTAGAGGTCGAGATTGCAAATGATCGATTCGTCCGAGCATCGAGGGTTCATCGGGATAGTTTTTCCAGGGGATGTTTAGCGAGCGGTATCCGATTGACTTGGTCCCATCCCTCTGCCTGGGAACAAGGTTATAGTGGGGATGGACTGGTTGAGTCCCAATGGGTCAGTGATTGATTGTGAGTGCCAGTTGGTACGGGTTCGGACCCCAAGTGGGGGAGAGTTGGTGATCCATGGAGAGGGTGCACAACGCGGTCCGGTTCTATGCTTAGCCGCTAGGGCCAGACGATATCTCCATCAGGGTTGTTCTTGGTTCGTTGCCTATGTTATGGATACCCGGGAGCAGGATTGGGTGTCAGTTGATGATGTCCCGGTAGTGAGGGAGTACCCGGATGTGTTTAGGATTTACCTGGGGTGCCTCCGGAGAGGCAGGTGGAGTTCTGGATTGATTTGGTTCTTGGTGCGGCTCCTATAGCCAAAGAACCATATCGATTAGCTCCACCAGAGATACATGAGTTGTCTACACAACCGTATGAGTTGTTAGACAAGGGATTCATCCAAACGAGTAGTTCGCCTTGGGGTGCACCGATCCTGTTTGTGAAGAAGGAGTACGGGTCACATCGAATGTGTATTGATTACCGGGAGTTGAATAAACTAACGGGGAAGAACCGTTATCCACTTTCGATGATCGATGATTTGTTTGACCAGCTTCAGGGTGCGTATGGGTTTTCCAAGATTGATCAGCGCTCGGGTTATCATCAGATGAGGGTCAGAGAGGACGACGTTCAAAAGACGTCTTTCAGGACTCGCTATGGTCATTACGAGTTCGTGGTGATGCCTTTTGGGCTCACCAATGCTCCAGCCGCGTTCATGGACTTCATTGAACCGCGTGTGCAGACTGATGTTGGATCGGTCTGCGATTGTGTTTATTGATGATATCATGGTCTATTCCAAGACCCAGGAGCAGCATGAGGAGCACTTGCGAGAGGTATGGAGACCCTGAGGAGGGAGAGGTTGTATACGAAGTTCTCCAAATGTGATTTCTGGTTGCGCGAGGTGCCATTTCTGGGGCACCTTGTCTACCAGAACAATATTATGGTCGATCCGGCCAAGGTGGAGGCCGTGATGAGGTGGGAGGTTCTGAGGTCTCCGTCCGAGATTCGGAGTTTCCTGGGTTTAGCTGGATATTACCGAAGATTTATTCAGGATTTCTCCAAGATAGCGGTTCCCCTGACCCGGCTGACGAAGAAGACTGCCACCTTTCGCTTGGGGCCTGAGCAGCAGGCATCGTTTGATACTTTGAGACAGAGGTTATGCGAGGCGCCGATTTTGACCCTGCCTGAGGGTGTTGAGGATTTTGTGGTCTACTATGAAGCGTCTATAACGGGATTGGTTGCGGTCTTGATGCAGAGGGGTCGTGTTATTGCTTACGCCTCGAGGCAGCTGAAGCCTCATGAGGCGAACTATCTGACGCATGATTTGGAGCTGGGGACTATGGTTTTCACCCTCAAGATTTGGCGACATTACCTCTATGGGGTCCGCTGTACTATCTACACGGATCATAAGAGCATGAGGTACTTGATGGATCAGCTGAATCTGAACATGAGGCAGCGTCGGTGGTTGGATGTGGTGAAGGATTATGATTGTGAGATCATTTACCACCCTAAGAAGTTCGATTATGGATCTAATCGAATCAGATTTGGAGACTGGTAATTTTGGGGAAAAAACAGGAAACTCAAATACAGATGAAAGAAATAGAGGCTACAGAGATTGAATCGATTAAGAATTTTTCTTAACCCAAGAAGGATTGGAGTCAACACAGTACTCTAAACCCTAAAGTTGGTCTATTGGAAGATGAGTGATGTCCTCGACTTTTGGAGCTTCGGCCATGGCGGAACACTTTTGAAAGATTTGGAAAACTAAAACAACCTAGAAATGATTCTTGTTTCGATGAGTGAGTGAGAGAGAGGGAAAGAGAGAGAGATGGGTCTCTTTTTGTTTTTTAATTAATCAAATGTAAAAATAAATATTAAAAATGTAAAAATAAAAATAAAAAGGCATTTTAGTATTTTTAGTTTTCTGAAAGACCAAAAGCACAAGAAAACTACCTCAAAAGACCACCAATTCAAAAAAAAATCGAAGTTTGGACCAAACTTCAAAAAAATGCATACCACATGGATCATTTTTGCAGTTTTGTCTAACAAAAATGTTCAGACTAATTCATCACCAGAATTGTTATTTCAAATTGCCGTCTTGGTCACTATTTTATTTGTGAGCGAGATAAATGTTTAAATTGTACCATTAATAAAAAATTGATTTTTTTATTATCGTATGTGTGACGCCTAATAAATCATACAAAGATATTAACTGGTTTTAATAATACTATGTTTTAATAATACTATGTTCTTCTGGTGTTGATACTTGATATCACATCTATATGATTTTTTATTTAAATTTTCTTCAAAATTTTAAATGTTTTTGTTATTTATATACAATTTATTTTAATTATATATAAATAAAATCATAATTAAAATAAAATAAAAAAGTAAAAATAAAATGGGCAATTACTAATCTAGCCTAATTAAGGAAGTAATTAACTATTTTTAGCCAAAAATTAAAGTGGCTAGTGTTTCGCCAAATGGTCTACTATTTCGTGATAAGTATAAAAAAATCATTTTGAACTTGTAAAACCGTAGGTTTTTTGGAAACCTACGGTTTCCTCTTAGCCACCAAAAAACCTACGGTTTCGTTAAATTTTTTTTTTTTAAGTTTTTGAAAAAAAATCATGAAATCATAACATATATATGATGGCTTACGAGGTTATAACAAATTTAAAAAAAAAACGAAAAAAATAAATAAAACCGTAGGCTTCATACGAAACCTACGGTGTACAAGTCCACACTGCACAATCTGTGCATTGTGCACTTGTACGCCGTAGCGGTTTTAATATTTTTTTTTCGCTTTTTAAAAAAAAAAAGTTATCCCCATATACAAAAACTACTCCTAATCAACAATACGGTAAAATTTTAATAAAAATGGACATACCTCGTTGTTCTTCGGGTGCTCCATTGAGAGAAAAATGTAGGTAAAACAATAAAAACAATAGTCAAAATAACCTAATCCGAAAAATTATACATTATATACTATGGGCCAATGGGCCGCGAAAGAGTAGACGGACCGGTAAACAGTAGCTCATTGCCACGAAAGAGTAGTTTTCTACCGTTGACCATAGCCAACTTGCGTTGACCGTAGTTAATCCTGGCCAATCTACTATTTCATGGGCTACTTTTAGCTAATGTGTTTTTTTTTTTTTTGTTATTTTTGGATATGTAAGTAGTGTTTTAGGCTAGATTATTAATTTCCCAAAATAAAAATAAATATAAAACCAATTAGGGGTAAGATTACCAAGTCAATGACGTGTGTACAAATGGGTAAAAGTCATAACTAAAATCAGAGGAACAAAATCAAAATAAGTGGCAAAAAAAATAATAATAATAATAATAAATAACCGGATCACAATCAAAAAGAGGATTCCAAAGGGTAGAAAAATCCTAACCCAATACTAAATTCCTATATTTAGGAAACATTCTAACCTGATAGCCAAACCAATATGGTTTAGGATCGTTATCACTCCAAAATTAGTAATGGCAAATTGGCAACATCCATATTTACTTGAACATTAAATGCAGAAAGTAAATTCTCATAGCCATGCAGTCTATTAAATCATGATACGCTAATATCGAAGAGGGTACACACTTCACTTACTCCACCACCTTCCCCTCCTTAATTCCCATTCCCAAATCACACGATGAAATCCCACCGCCGTTTAAGTCTGCCGGAGAATCCAGTAAACTTTATAAAAATCATTCTCTCCGACGATACTCACTCCATAGGCATCGTAAGTTAGTATTCTCTTTACACGAGTTTAGATGAGTAAAAATTTATTATTTTTTTTTTCATAAAACAGAGGATGCCGAAGAAGTTTACAGAGAAACATGGAAAGGATCTGTTGGAAAGAGTGATACTGAAGGTACCAAACGGTGATGTTTGGCGAGTTGACTTACAGAAGTCAGGGGATGAGATTTGGCTAAAAAATGGTTGGTGGGAATTTGCAGAGCATTACAGTTTAAAGTATGGGCACTTATTGATGTTCAAATATGAAGGGTTTTCAATATTTGGTGTGGTTATATTCGATACAAGTGCAACAGAGATAGTTTATCCCCCTATGAAGAAAGATTCACTCAGAAACTCTACAAAAGATGTGGCAAGAAACAATCCACAAGAAGTCAAACCTACTAAACTGAAGACTGTAAAGTCAGAAGAGGAGACATGTTCATCGAGTGAAGATGAAAAAACTAGAATCAAGATTAATGGTTTGTTTGATTCTTTTTACTTTATGATGTGAATATTTCTTATATACAAACAGACACTAACCTGGATAACTTGATTTGAGTTTAGTTGGAAGTGGATGTTTAAGGAAGAGGAGGGAGGATGGAAGAAGGGCAGTTGAAAGAGCTAAAGCTAATTTCAAAAGCCATAAACATTTCTTCATTGCATATATCCAACAATCATATGTTACCGGATCAAGAGGACTGGTAATCATGAATAATTCTACATCGATCTTTTCAATGTATAAATTAAGAAAACAGTTTTTTGATCTGTTTCCATGGATGCAGCCTGTAGCAGTCGATTTCAGGAAGAAGTGTTGGAGGGGACGCAAGAAGCATAGAAAATATTTGCTTAAACTTGTGAATGATGATGGAAGGCAAAAAACATGGGAGGTTATTGCAGGTGATACTCGCTTACATGGTGCTGGTTGGGTGGAATTTGTCAAGGACAATGGCATAACATTTGGGGACATCTGTGTTTTTGAGCTAATCCATGAACACCAAAATGTACTTGGTGTTACCATCCTTAAATGTTCTCCCTAAATTGTTCTGTTTTCATTCCTTTTTATCAACATGATGGAATTACTCTTTTGAGGTAATGAAAGATAGGATTGTTTTATATCGGGATAAAACTAAACTGAGTAATTTAATAATTTTGGGTTTTACTATATGGTTTGTATATTCGAATTTTTGAAATTGGTTTGTAGTTAAACCAAATTATTATTTTGGATTCTTTATTGGTTTTGCATTGTGCACTTTATCAAATCTTATAAAAAACTACACAAATAAAACTTTGTTAAAGACAAACTTGAAATATTCTATAAACAAGGCATTATCTTGTGGCATGTATAACAATCAAATTGTTAGCATAAAATTTAACTGTCGTAAATAAATATTTAGGGTCCTTCGATCATCAGTTTGATGATTATGCTAACAATTTGCGAGGAACACCACCCCTTCCCATCTTTACAACATTCATTCCTCTTCCATGGTGAGAACTCATTGTACTCTCTCTCTCTCTCTCTCTCTCTCTCTCTCTCTCTCTCT